ATGCTAGTCTCGCGAGTTTGTTTACAGGATCAAAGGAAGCAAAGTTTTCTTACTTTAGCAAAGAAAAAACAGTCTCCTCTTGGCTTATATCGAAATCCTCCGACATTCTTCTTCACAAATCCTTGGTTTGTACTTCTAATTCGTGACCGGAGTTTTGTCTTGTTGTCTCTCCGCATTCGTCACTAATCACGCAACGCCAACATCCTACGTCATCCGCCGGAACGGAAGAGCCAGGACAATTTTTAATATAACTACGACTGGATTCGTCTGAAGGAAGAAAGTCATATACACCTGGGATGCTTCGAGGGTGAGTAAAACACAAGCCAATTTTCATTTTTGGGTGAACTAACCCTTTAACAAAACTGTTAATAATAAATAATTATATTAAAATACTTATTAGAAATTATTTGAAAATAATAATATTAAGTAATGAAAAACGAGTATCCATTTTCATCATTTACATTATAATGTTGTAATCCCTAAATTCACTTGTTTAAAAAGTCTGTTTTTACTGATTCACTTTTTTAATTATTTAGGCAATTTAGTTTGGAATTTTAATAATTAGCCATTACATTGTTATTATTAAATAATTATATTAAATATTAACAGATTAAATAAATCAGGCTTGTGAAGCCTAAATGCACTTGTTTAAAACTTGATTTTAATTTAGTTTTTTATTTTAATTTAAGTATTTAATTTTCCATTTATTTAGAAAAAATATTATATAACATTAATATCAGCCATTTACTGGTATCAGCTATACCATAATTGTTATTATTAGCTTTTATTTTCAGTTTTCATTTAAATTTTAGTTTAAATTCTAGTAACTTATGCCATTTTATTGGTTTTGTAATTTGTTTTTGTTGTTGGTTATTGGTTATTGTTTTTAATATTTCTAATTATATTTAATTTATGTTTACTTTAGTTATGGTTTTAGTCATTTAAGTACTTCAATTTTTTCTTATTATTTTATTTAAATTAATTAAATTAATTAAAACTACAAAAAATAGTTTTTGAAAATGTAATTAAGTTCATTAACAAATATATTAATAAATAAATACTGTAAATCAAACAGTGATTTCCACTGTAGAAAACAGTTCTGAGCTGATTCCCTTAAACCTGCTGATCTCGAACCAGGAATAGTGAACATCGGGGTTCGGAGAGAATATATATTTTTTCAAAATGACAGAAGAAAGCAAATGCAACCACAGACCCTGCATTTCAGGAAGTGGTCTAACACTACTTCCTGTTCTGACTGACGCCCTCAGCCCTTGCGGCTCTTTACATTTACACTTTGGTGGCATAACGCAGCAGGTTGATTGCTGGTCCAAGATGATTTACCAGCTCATGACTAGATTAGATCGGCTGCCACGCTCCAAAACAGAGAGCAGATTAAGCTGGATTTTCCGGCAGGGATTAACTCCCAACACAATATTTATCAAAAATAGATGGCGATAAGCATATTATGTTGTGTCCAGCTGAGCAGGACAAAGGTGAACGCTGCTGCTTAGAGAAAATATGAAAAACTTGGTGGATGACCTCTAAAAACATCACTTTGGTTTGAGCTGACAAAGAAGGGGAAATCAAAGCAAAAGGCTGAGCGAAATGGAGAAGTGACAGATGTGAAGTCATTTTCACAGTTTTTACCAACATATCATGAGGTTTGTGTGATCAGGACAGTGAATCAGGAACAGAAAATTGGCACAATTAGAGCATAAAAAGTAGTACAATGTAGAACTGCTCTAGCATAACGACAATATAAAAGCCAATTAATGAATTTTAGGAACTATTATCCAATTCTGTTGTCCAAATAATATCGCACTTAAAATCACAGTAAATCACATTTATTGTTGCGCTATGAAATTTTGTGATTTCGCAATGCAAAATTTGAGTTGGGTTCAAATTTTGACACTCAAATTCCCAGTGCCGACCAATATCAAGCCAACAAAGCAAAAATGAATATCCACAATTCAGTCATTTTACTGGCAATCCGCGCAATGAAGAATTTCGCCCAATGGACTTCTGGTGGTGAAGAAATTTCCAAATACAAATTTCGCGTTGGGTTCAAATTTGGTGAAATTTGACAATCAAATTCACAGCGCCGACCAATAGCTAGCTACTTGGTTCAAAAGTGACATTGGAGTGGGTGGAAATTCGTAACTTTAGCAACAAGGCAAAAATGAATACCCACAATCCAACAGCAAACTACAACAACTGCAGCGCGACAAAAATGCAGCACACACAGAGCTCTCTGACCCTCCCATAGACAGCAAGGATCC